GTTTTTCTCTTTGATTATATGACGAATAAAGTAACAAACAAAAAACAAAACAAACTACTTACAGTAAGTTACAGTTTCATGCAGTTTTTCTTTACATTTAAGCGATATAATGTTCAAGCTTGCCAAATTACGTCATCTACGTTTACATGCACCTTTTGGTAAATTTGTTTGAATCTATTTCGCTACTTGAACCATTATGTAGAGTGCTTGTTACGGACTGATGTTTTTTATGTTGTTGAGATACACAGGCCTGCCCAAATGGCTCTTAATTTAAATAGGGCTGTTAAATTTGCAACTATTAGAGATAAAAGGAATTGTATTGTAAAATATTAATATCACTCCGTGTGAAAATATAAGCATAAGCCATTTTGATTATGACCATTTCTCTTTTTATTTTTAATTTTTGCTGTAAAATTCTCCAAAAGAGATTTCATTTACAAAGGTATTATTATCTTTTGCCATCATGGTGAATGGTAACATGGGATCTGTGATATGTTATGATGATAAGCTTTTTTTCTCGGAAATGGACTTTCAGGTCCATTCGTAATTATCATCCAAATAAAATCACGTAATTTGTCACCGTGACTCTACTATGTAGTTGTCAGATACTTTTAAAGCAGATTGTAGTTTTTCTAGTATTTATCGTGTCCATTAAAACACCGTTCCTTAGATATAGGTACATTATGTACGGTAGCCATTTGCTAGCCACTCAAAAGGAAGTCGTCGCTTCACGGGAAATACTCTGTATTTTCGTTCGTTAGCTTTAGGATAAATGCAGTATACTTAACTTCATTTCCTTACAACGGTGCAGCATCTGCATAAAATTCTCATAAGTAAGAGTATCACAGGGGTCCGTACTCGGACCGATGCCTTTTACTCTTTGCAACGGCCCTTAGACCTTGGCACTAGCCGTACCCGATTATTGACAAATGTATATGAAAACGACAAACTACTGTCCTTCTCCTATCGCAGTTTTTACAGTATTTAAGAACACTCCATATTTTGCATTATTCGTATACCCATGTAAAATCTGCATGTTTCATTGCATACTAATGAGCATTGTAACGATTTTAACGTTTTTGTATCTTGTTAAGTTTGCAAAAGGGAAATAATAAAAGTTCTAGGTATCAAGAAGAAACAAATGTATTAATTACAAAGTATTGGCAATTACTTACAGTGAAGCCTGGCATTCTGAAGTGATCCATGTTGATACCTTGCAGGTTTGTAAAGTTCTTCGGGGGAGTGTCATCAGCAATAATGATTCTTGTATTTGGATACAATCTCTTGATAGAGAAAATCGCCGATTTTGCCTTATGGTACCGAAGAAACGTTTTAACAATCACAGTGACCCTTTCTTCGACAGTTCCTAATGAGTGAAAACGTTATCACCAGTGTTAGCAATAATAAGTATTTTCCCTGACCTCGTGTTTTTTTTTCGTAGAAAAGTGTATTTTTTTTACACAAACTAATCGATTTGTGATTTTTTTGCTCCAACAACGATTTGTTCCTTCAGGATCTTCCTTATTTAATAGTGCAACTTGAAAGAAATCAAATGAAACGACGCTACCTAGTAAACCTTGAGATGGTGGAGAGGACCGCATGTTAATGTAACGACTCTGATGAATTGGTTTTAGTTTTTATTTATATTGCAATATAGACTAGTTTACGCAATATAGACAAGTATATCACCATTGCTTTCATTTTCTCGCAATGTTTACAAAAGGGAAGCATAAATGTTATGATTTCACTATGCGTTGAGAAGTCTATCAGTTTGAACATTTGATGCCAGGATTGGTCTAACACCTTGTCTGATAGTCTAACATCGCTTATCTTCACGTTCAAGGTTCAAGTCTAACCATGACTTCTTGTCTTCACCATGATTTTATTATACGGTGGTACCTTTTCTATACAGCCATGGAACTTGTCGATGTTGAATATGAATCGGAATTGTAATATTGAATTCCAAGTAACGAAGAAGAACTGAAAAAAATGCGTCATATATACTTAAATTATTACAAAGTACAAAGAAATGTATATAATATGGTATGTTAAGATTATCACCAAAGATCACGCATTCTTACATTCTAATAATGCGTGATCAGTTAATGCAGCATTGAACGTAAAATCAGCACCTAATTTCTATAAAAGGTTGGTTATCAGAGCCAAAAATGATCAATCGCAATACTTTTGTCATTTTATACTGCTAGTAATTGTAAATATTAACAAATGACTTAAGTGGTCACTTCTATTTATCTTATCAATCTTTAGACTGAGCTGTTTTGAGGGGGTGGTTTACCAATAATAATAAATTAAAACTAAAGTTCCACGATCTCATACCTTCGCCAAATGACTTTCTTAAGTATACATTAATCCCCCTGATTATGCAAATAGGATCCTCAATTGCATAAATTATATCTGTTGATCATATTCTACACCAAAATACACAAACAAAGAATGTCATTATAGCATTTCCTAATAAATAAACCACACACAAACACACACACACTAAAACGCTATTGAAAACATAACCCTCTTGGCGAAGGTTATTATGCAAATGAGGCCCAAATTTAAATAATTTATGTCTAATTATGTTCACATTCACTTAAATTTCAAATACCCCAAGTATGAAATTCCAGGCAGTTAACAGTATGGAAGTATAAGATTTCGCATCAATTATGCAAATTAAGTCGTCATTTGCATAATCAATATCTGCCTGTGTTACTCTAGTTATTAAATACAATTTTTGCCGAGAATTATTGATGTTTGATATTTTTTTCTCGGCCCTTTGGATGTAATGTCAAGGCACGAGGTCCATTTTTATGACGTCATTTGGTCACGTGGATTACACCAAGAAAGCTACTCATACAGACTTGGTATCATACATCAAAATAAACTTTGGTTATTGCAGATTCAAATAATCTATGGTAGCACTGGTCTGTCTTGGTCAAGCTTGACATATGTCAAATAGCAATCTTATGTAATGCAACTGATTTATAGAATTTCCTCATTGATTATGCCAATTACATTCATATTTGCATAATTGTAAAAACATTATGTCAAACATCAATTAAACTACCTATAGACAAAAAATCACGACGATCCACAATCCGGTTCATAAGTTATCCTCTTTTAAACATTTTTCAACATACGCCCCTGCAGTTCTAGAGCAAGCAGCTCAAACTCATGTCACTTCATCTCCAACACAAAAGCTATATACTATGTAAATTTTGTGACCCTAGCATGCCTGGATCATGAGATACTAGTATCAAAACCGGAAGTTCTGCAACAGTACCATAACAAGCCGCCGTGGAGCCCAAAATCTAATCATTTCCAGGTCTCATCAAGACCTACCTACCTACCAAATATCAAGACAATCCATTTAGGCGTTGTCGAGATATCGTGCTAACACATACACACACACAGACACATACACACACACACACACACACACACACACACACACACACACACACACACACACACACACACACACACACAGACACACGAACGCCCCTGAAAACATTCCTTCTCGGCAAAGGTAATAATTATTTTTGAACTGCGATGACGTAGAGTCAATAGAACCTCATTTCGTGCAAAAAAGCAAAAAAAAAGCAAAGTTTACATACTTTCTAAGTGGCACAAGACAAAAGCACAAATAACATTCTGTGGGCTTGCATCCAATGATCTATTTTTGTCCGGATATAGCAAAAAAAATATTTTACGCAATTTTAAAGTGGTGTATGTCAAAGTCGTGTACCTCCATTAAGATTTTCAGGTCATTTGTTATAATGATTCTTTCCCTCCAGTCAGGAGTCAAACTTATCGTATCGGTGCTTAGATTAAAAAGACTGTTTTAGTCAATAAAAACGTATCAAGGATGTCATATTGTGGCATTATTACGTAATAACGATAAGGAAAATTCTTAAGGTATAGTTTAACACGCCATAAGTCCCAGTTACCACCCACCCCCCCACCTTAAAGCACAGCCTGTTTGTTTGAGAAGTTTACAGAATGGGTAGCAGGGATCGCTTAAGTTATCACAGAAATTGTAGGTGAGACAGATGAGCAGCAATTGACCACCACGACCGTGTCGTTGTCACAGCGATCTCGCCCCATTTAGTAAAAAATTATTTTATTTGAAACTTCTTTTATAGCATGCTCAAGTACACTCATTTCGTATGAAATTCTAATCATAGTATTTCGTTGTATTCGGGTTATGTTTAAATGATTTTAACAGACAATTCGGTAGAAGAATGCCCTGCTGCTACCGCTCTGACGTTCTGGAACCCGGGCTTGGTCCTATAGTTAAGCACACAGTAGCTGTATGTTCTTGACTTTTAGGCACATTAGATTTCAGGAATGGTATTGCAAATAAGGCAAGTATTTCAAAGTTGCATAACATTAAATTGGTTTTACTCGAGCGGTGATTGGTTGCAAGATATGGAACTATACATTTTCATTTAGGGCCGTGGAAGTTTAAAATTCTTTGATGTAACGCTTACATTGAGATGACATAACTTCCTTTGTCATGAATGGCGTCATAATTACGTTATAATGATATCAAAATTTCTTGTTTTGATCAATATTAACTAGTACACCATCCACTAAAAATTCAGTGGTCATACGATATACCTTTCATGAGTTCGGAGGGGGCGAAGGAGCCCCCCCCGTCCCAAAGATCCATAAAAGCCCAGTCTAGATAGGGTTTACTAAGAGGCAGAATAGTGTAAGATCTCTGGAGTGAGACGAAATCGCTAGCGTTATCAACCCCCACCCCCGCCCGGAAGGGCGAAATCACTGGGGGAGAGGCAAAAACACACCGGGTAAAAGAGCGTTAGGCGCCGAAAAAGATTTTAGAAAACATCCTAAAGAAACCCGGGCCCGGCTTAACCATGTAAGCTACCGCCATGAATGCATCTAACAATTTGTAAAAAGAAAAAAAAAACCTTTTTCAAATATGTTGGTGTCAAATTCCGTGTTACGGTACACTATGTCCTGAAGCTGAAGATTCAGCAGGGATGGGCTGTTTGTTCTTATTGTCATCCTTTTGGTCTCTTTCCCTTCAATATAGACGTTTTCGTAATTACATAGCGTAGTAAAAACGCCTTTTTCAGCACGAAATTCCACCTGCAAGACATCAAAATATAACGTATCATAGAAAACACTTGTATGTTAAATAGTCTTAAATTGTAACCATTAAGATTGGGCATGTGATATCATAGAAAACATGACGGAAACGCGGTGAAGAAAAGGAAATGAAAACGAGAAAAGACACAATATAGATAAAGTACACGAGGGAAACTCATCTGTAGCAAGACCTTTTCAGCTATGGGCAAGTCGTGTTACCTCCATGAGAAATATAGATTCTTTTTTGGCGTGTCTGTGTCCGTCTGTGTGTCTTCTCTGTGTGTGTTTGTTTGTGTTTCCGCACATCTGTAGTCAGCATAACTTCAAAACGCCTTTATGGATTGTAATTTTTGGTATGTTGGTAGGTCGTAGGAATAGAAAGGGCATGGTCAAATATAGGCCCCCTGATGGCTGACCTTGGTACTGCAGCAGAATGTTGCCAAAAGATAGGAATTTCACAAGCAAAATGTTAAAATTTGAGTTTAGAAAACCATAAATTTATAGTACATTTGATCTTATTTTTGAATGAGACAAATTCCCCCCAAACATTAACATAAACTTTACATATTTCATGTAGGTATGATGTCTTCGAATTCTTGTTATCATTGACTTGTAAATGTTGGTAAAAATGGATATTCCGAATTTGGAAAGTACAAGCAATTTGAAGAAAACAAGCAATTTAAACTGTAATAAGTACCATGATAATTGTATTAATATGCAGCTCAGATCATAAACACTAATTATGTGAAATCTACACTCACTGATGTGCACAACACATAGAGGTGTCTTGTAATTGATATTATGGCCTAAGAGTCTGGCAAGCTTGCCTGTTCGGTCAAATAGAGTTACCGTTGGGCTGACATTTCTGAAAAGAAAAAGTCTGAGCTCATTAGTTTACTCAGCAATGCTGGGCTAAAATAACACAGACTTTTAGCCCGCTCTAGATTGGTATTTTAGAGAATACCGTGAAACCTGCAGTTTTTCAAAAGTACCTCTATGGTTAGCCGTCAGTCTGGACTACTGAATTTTCCTAACCATCGGGCCCTCTCTCAAACACACGTAGACACAGGTATACTTGTAGATAAAGCAGTCTTGCTTTTTATTACGACATATGTGCCTATAGCTACCTATGCAATTTCTCCATAAAGGAATCAATTACATTCACTGTAATAACTGCATAGTTCTTTCATTATGGTTCCAAGTGTTAGAAAACAAGATTTGTTGACCCTGCCAAGATACAAACACTCGCACAGACGTATTTTGAAGTGGAGGTATAATCAAAGATGTATGCCGAATGTGCATGTAGTGGTCAGTCCTGTTGTGCTTGACCCATGGGGATGGTTTGTTACATGCGCACCCACCAATCCCACCCCATCCCCACCGAACGGGGCTTTTCTCACCAGACGGTGATCTTCAAAAGTTTGAGGAGAACACCATTAGACTATATTTAGGCCAGGACGGCAAAGTGACGATAGATTTACTGCTGTAACTGGAAAACACGCACAGCCACCTATATGCCTTACAGAGGATTGACAACTAGGGCAAGGGTAAGTCAAATGGCAGGAATCCGTGTGAAATATTATTTAAAAAAAAACATGATGTAGTGGAGAGAATGCCCTTTATTAAGGGCTTAAATTCTAAAGATAGGTTTTCCGTGATGTGATGTTTTAAGTATTTACCTTTTCTTCTTGGGTACCCCGGCGGGGGATGAACCATTCAATTCGTAGTCCTAATGAATATTATAGAGAAACAGGTTATGTTATTCATGATTAAATTATTAAATATCTCTAGATTCCGTTCTTTATTCTATTAATTTTTCATTATGTAAATTGCTGCTGGAAGCATTAATGTTTTTTTGTTTAAATGGGGACGTCATTAGCATTATCGTAGGGAAGTTCTCCTATAGTCTTCGTGTAGTGTTCCAGGTTAGATGCTTGGAAATAGATTAAGGTTTTATTTATTTATCTATTACAATTGACCACATACATATGTACATGGAGGGCATCGTGTACAGGTGCACATAAGTGCACCTTTTCAAGGCCACCATGCCCACAAAAAATAGACAATATGTATAAAAATACAAAACAGTGATGCTGTATATACAAATTTACATGATAATAAAAGCAATAATAACTGGACTTAACGGGGTCTCGTAGCGCGGCAGGTGGTGCAGCCACACGACAGCACCCAGGAGCACGGAATGTCCACACTGAAATGTTGGTTAAGTCTATTGCGCATGGACGACTGACACTTTCTCCTAAAAGCTGCCACGTCAATTGGACTTGACGCGTTAGCTCACAACGCCCTGGTCTCAACGTCCAGTTTATTCCATACTGTTATGACTCGTGGCAAGAAGGATGAAGCATGAGACGAAATTTTCACTCTCGGTGGGACAGGCATGTAAGCCCTAGAGCTCCGAGGAACTCCAGACGAGAAGCACGAGAATTAACAGGTACTACAACATCGGAAATGTCCCTTCTGTACGAAAGAGGCAGCCTGCCCTGTCGTACAGAAGGGATGTTTTGCCAATACACAAAAATGATATGCAGCCTTTCCTAACAATTACAGAAATAGTAACCACTTAGCCATCTTATTTGGAAATCCTCTAGAGAGCTGAGCAAACTTAGCTATATGACTATCTCGGCAAAACATTTCTATGATGAGAAACTCAATGTCAGAACAAACTAGAGTTCCACGATCTCATACCTTCGCCAAATGATGTTAATCTTTATGACTGACAGATTATAGATTATTCCCCCTGATTATGCGAATTGGATCCTCATTTCCATGAATTATATCAGTTGATCATATTCTTTACAATTAGACAGTCTTATCTTAACAAAGAATGCCATTCTACCATTTCGTTATAAATTACGCATATGAGTTTCTTATTTGAATAAGTTATGTTTAGTGATGTTTACCTTCACTTAACTTTCAAATGCCCCAAGTATAACATTCCAGGCATTTACCATTGCTGAATTGTAGCGTTTTCTCATTAATTACGCGAATTAAGTATTACTTTACATAATCAATATCTGGCTGTGTTTCTCTTGTTCTCAGTCACATATATCAAAGCTTGAATAGTCCTATCATGTAATGCAACTGATTGATAGGATATCCTCATAAAGTATGCAAATAACATTTATATTTGCATAAATACCCCATAATTATGTCAATCATTACTTAATACCTACACACCAAAAATCATGATGATCTGCAAACTGGTTATTGAGTTATCCCTTTTTAAATATTATCAAAAAAACGAACCTGCAGTTTCAGAGCAAGCCACTAGGGAGCCCAAACTCCCGTCACTTTTTTCCCACAACAAGAGCTACCTATCATCTTAAATTGGTGACCCTAGTATGTCTAGGTCATGAGATATCAAAACTGAAAGTTCCGCTTTCAGTACCACAAGAAGATGCTAGGGGGCCCAAAATCTAATTTATAGGTCTTACCAAGACCTACTCACCTACCAAATATCAGGTCTATCCATTAAAGCCTTGGTAAGTTATCGTGTTTTCGGACAGACACACAGACTCACACCTCTGAAAACATAACATTTTTGTCGAAGGTAACAATGTGCTACTTGTTTTAAAGTGTACTGCCTGTCTGGGTGGAAGGAGGAATGTTCCCGACCTCCCAACCCTCCGAGAAAGACGTGAACTTGCGGCTGTAAAGTTGCTCAAGCGTATGCTCAGCCCTGACCACCCACTACATGATTTTGTACAAGGAGCCAGGTCGGATAGCACAAGGAGGTGTTTGATGAACTCTGGGGGAATCACGGTGCCAAAGGCACGGACATACAGACTGTATAACTCGTTCCTCAACTGCACAATCAGACTGTACAATAGCCAATGCAGACCTCGTGTTCTTTTGTTTCATGCCCCGCTCTTGTATGTAATTGCCTTGTGCGTTATATATATATATATATATATATATATATATATATATA